CGCGTGGATGTGTGTGTTATACATTAATTGTCACCAACTTTTGTTGATTTCTCTTTAATTATAACTTCTTGTAGTTTTCTTATGTACCACTTCTTTTCCTTAATCCGTCAGGTTGTTACCATAATTTTATGACCCTTTTTTTGTGTTTCCAACCGTTTGCTTTTTTTCTTTCTTACTTATACTTCTAAAGCTGTCAAGTATTGCCTGTTAATTCAGCTAGCGAATGGTTATTATCATAGGGTGTTCAATGCTTGGTTTTAGAGTTGTGGCTGGTCCCATGGTTGTAATGTTGCACCACATGTTATTCTTGTTATTTACACCTGATTTGGAGTTTTGTGCTACTTGTAAATCATGATTTGTTATGTTTCCTCTTTTGTGTATAAGGTTGTCTTGTCTTACAGTAGGACTTTTAAGTCTGTTTTTTTTATTTCATATAATTCATAATCCTTTATTTTGTTCATCTTTTTTTAATGCTAATTTTTTTTTTGGTAGCTTGCTAAGGTCATCGGGTGTTGTTACTGTGGATATCATTTTAGGACTTAGTGATCGACAATTAGCTTGAACTTGAATCGTGATGTTGACTATTTGGTTTTCAGGCATTGTGTTGTAAGCTGAAATAACTCCCTTCAGTATTTGTTTTACAATTAGTTAGTTTCTGCTTTGTTTTCTTACACTTTCTCTCTGATTATTACTGTTTTTGTTTGTGGTTAAGTTGTTCTACTACTACCATTACTACTATCCTTTTGTCTCCTGTTTGTTTCATTATGTTGCTCCATCATCATTTGCTCTCGAGTCTATGGTGGTTCTTTATCTGCTTGTCATCTAGCATCAAGTTTTGATCGGGATACATTCTTTTCACATAACCTTGACACCCAAACTGGATGGTCAGGATGGCAGCTGCTTGTAGTTTGGTCAATATTTCACCTTTTTAATTTAGAGCTTGCGCTCTACAACAACTGGCCCTGGGTAAACTTTAGATGATGATGGTGACCATGATAAGGATGGTCTTTATGAGTCTATATGAGTGCAGATATTTTGTAATTTTTTTTGTCATTTATCTGCGTACAGCAATTGATGTGGAGACAGGTGACTAATGAACAATCTTTTTTGTTGCCATTTTGCAGGGAGCTGCTCGGATTTCAGTATCTGTTCCTAATGTTGATGAAGGAAACTTGAAAGGTCAAACTCTGGAGATCACAGTCCAATCCTTATCTGAAACTATTGGAAGTCTTAAAGAGAAGATTGCTGGTGAGGTCCAGCTTCCTGCCAATAAACAAAAGCTCAGTGGCCGTGCAGGTTTTCTCAAGGATAATCTGTCACTTGCTTATTACAACATTGTCCCGGGTGAAACACTGACTCTTGCCTTGAGGGAGCGTGGTGGAAGAAAGAGATGAAATCTCATTTGAAAGGTCTCCAAGGATCATTTTGCAGCAAGTTGTGGTTCTGATGAGAACATTATTCTAGAAATTATGTTGGTCAATGCGTTGGCGCAAAATATTTGGACTTGTATAATGAGGATCTCTGAACTTATATTTTTATGTTTTGAACTGATAGAGATTTATGGTTCTTAATGCAGATTTGCAATTTGGGTCCATTTCGGAAGCAGGTTGACAATGGCTGATCTGTTTCTGTTGGCATGCTTCTGCCATCTTCTGTTTTTATTTAGTTTTAAATTTTATTTCATTACATTATAAATGAAATGGTCCGGAGCTTATTAAATTTCTAATTTTTAAATTTTTGAATTTTAATCTTTCTTTCTTTCTAGTTCATGTATAACAGGTGTTGCTTTCAAGAAGGCATTCTTGTGAGGTTTGTGTTAGAATCATAAAAAAGATTTTATCAGAAGTTCCTTTTGCATTATTTTCTGACATTTGTATTTCACGATGAAGCAGGTAGAGCTGGATTTTTTGTGCATATCTTGATTGTTCCAGTGTTTGCATATTAATGTCAGATATTTTGAATATATGATGTGTTGATGAAGTAGATTTTTTATTTGACATTGGTTTTTTATTTCTTTTTTGTCACTTATCTGCAGGATGATCTCATAACTAGTTTGATTGGTGATTCTTTTCCTGTATGCATGTTTAATGCCTCGACCTTTAATTACTTATATGGGTAAAAAAATTGCTGAAGTGGCTTCTAATCTTTTTATGCTAGGAAACTTCATAATGTGCTGAGCTCACCGTCCATCAGCTGTGATTTCTTCTTGCTGTTAAGGTATTTCTTTCGCCTTGGATTGTCAGGTTTATGTTTGAGGCTGTGATATGGCTTTCTTTTTTAATGCTAAACTGTTGATTATTGAATAAAGATATTGAGCATATAAGGAACTTCTAATTCTGATATTATGACCTATTCAGTGCATATCAGCTAATTACTTCCCCATATGTTTGCTTTGCCTTCAGTTTGTTCGAATGACGCTAAACACCCTCGAGTATATGAGCTTTATAGTAGATAGTTTACCATTTTTACAATCTTATTTGCGCATAAAGATTTAAATTTTTTAGTTATTATGAATCCAAATTCTTCCACCAAATTTGGAAGTACTTGATGCATATTTGTTATTGAATCACATTGGATAGGAGAGCCTCATGATTTACTCATGAGGTAAGATATTGAATATTGAGGAGGGACCAAGCAAATTGGCCAAACGCATACTGCAGTGAGTTTAGGATGATGCTTGATTCCTTTTCCTGGAGTAAAACATGAAAGATTCTAGCAAGATAAGCTGTGGACCAAGCAAATTGGCCAAACGCATACTGCAGCATGTTCAGGATGATGCTGGATTCCTTTTCCTGGAGCAAAACATGAAAGATTCTAGCAAGATATGCTGTGGAACCACCTCTTTTTTCTGGGAAAGGTATAGTGATCTTAGGTGGATATTTTATGTTTACATCCAACATTTTTGTATTAATATCAACACAGCTGTGATATATTAGAAATATTTGTTTTTGTCTCCAAGACTGGTGAAAGTCTCCAGTTACCTGGTCTATGGCATTAACAATGCATGAAAAAGATGTCTGTCTTTGGATCGCTGCACGTATTCCCATCCATTAGTCTATTGGTCGACATAATTTTGATGAACCATTATAGCGGTGAACTGTGACCACTAAGTACTTCGCTTATGGCTGAGGATGTGTACTCATGGACTTAGGCAATAGTATTATTGCCTGGACTTGGTGTCCATCAGGGTATGTTTTTGTTGTATGCAGTATGAGTCATAGAGAGATGAAGGGGGATAGCTGTAATTAGGGCTGAATTTTTTTTTTGTATCCGAGGTAATATCTGTATTCGTATCCTAACGGATACGTATATGGTTACTAAAATTTATAACCGATTGGACATGGTTACGGATATGGTTATGTAGTGAAATATCCAGAGTTGTATCCAAAATATCTGAATACATATTGCTCATACTGTTGCAACAGTTTTAATCCTTAGATTAATGTATTTGAGGTTAATTTTGATGATCAAGATACCTAATCTTAGCTTTTTAGATATAACGAACATATTAATGAACTTTACTGTACCACATGGACTATATTTTTTCAATATTATCTAGTTTTCTCATATCAATTTTGTATCCGCACGCATAACCCCTTACATATCCGTATCCGTATCCGATTTTAGCGGATATGAATATGAATTTTCCATACGAGGTATATTGGGATCCATATTTGTGATGGTTAAGCGGATATGGATATGGTAAGTATCATATTTGACCCGTATCCAGACCGAATGCACCCATAGCTGTAATACACTATCACAATTCACAAGCTTTCGATATTTCTTTCTTGTAATCTGAAACAAGGCGTACCGCAAGCATAGTCAAATCCAAGACTTGGATTAAGCAAGTTTTTACCGGAGGAGGTACAGTGCAGAGTGAGCTATTTTGGAAATTATACTAAGGTGATAAAGGGGTCTGAGAGTTTTAGTATTGGCCCGTTAAATGGTAAAATTGTTTTCATACAATTTGGGGTGGTCTAAGTGTTCTGTATAAGAAAGTGTCAATTGGCTTAATAAGAAAGGAGCATTGACTGTATTGACGATGACTAGAAGAGATGAGTGTTAACTAGGAGATGCTGAATGCAAATGTTGACTGTATTGACAATGGCTACAAGGGTCAAGTAATTTAGTTATCAGTATGTTTAGTAGAAATCTTTTAAAACACAAACCTTTAGTTACGGGTGAACTATAATTAAATCATGGAGTGTCCAGTTACTGTACAATCGCTTGGTCAATACTTCGGTGTACAGGATCGACAGCATGTAACACCCTTCAACTGTATGCTTGGTAACCAATATCCTGTTATGACTTGCCAACATGCTTTCAGTTTGCACCGACGAAAGTGTGAATATAATCTGTAAATCTTGTAGGATACCGTGCTTATTTTTGAAAAAAAAGACGTGCTTGATTAGACCATTTACCATTTTGATGATCAAGCTAGAAATATTCGTCGATTAGAAGCACTTGGCAACTGCGAATGCTCAATACCAAGGGCCATCAACCATGCGAGCTTACTCGCGAGCAGCTTTCATTGGGCTTGACATTTAGTTTGCTCAGACCTACTTGTTTCGACGAACCAGGCGCTGTCTCGCTCAAGTTTGGCTTGTTTATACCTCGAACAGAAAACTTTGATGCGAGTCTAAGCGAAACTTGATGGAGGTAGAGGCAACAGGTATGATAACGCTTAACGGAGGAGGTGTCCCATAACAGATTTATGTGGATTTGATTCATCATGTTGACCCAAATTCATGAATAAAAGGCTTTTGGGTATTGTAGACTTAACGTTTTTATTTGTGCAACTTGAGCTCATGCGAACAATAACCCTCCAGACTCCTAAGCAGGAAATATTTCTGAACGAAATTTTGATGATTAGATGTCCTACAGGGATCCGATTCATCTCTCTTTGGGTTTGGTTGGTTGCTTTAGAGTTATCAACTCATTCTAGCTGCCAGTGGAATATTAATTCTTAATCTGAAAGAAACCAAAATTGATTTTTAGTTTGAGAAGAAACTGATCCCCTTTTTATAGAGAAGAGTATCCCCGTATAAGTTGGCCTTCTTTATTTTAGAAAATGAAGGTTGGGAAGAGGCCTTCTGAAGACTGGTAGTTTTCCCATACCAATAAGATGAATTGCTCTTTGATTTTCTGTTAATAAAATAGTAAGTTATCTCTCCATTAGAAAGAAAGAAAAAAAGAGCTCGAACACGTATCTTCAGAAACTGCTGAAGTATCATAACAAAACAAGTTCACTAAGGTCTCATCAGAACCACCACTGCTGAAGGTGATCTACACTATAAATAGAGAAGTTGTAATGCCAAACTAGCCTTCTAACCGCTCGTGAATGGTATAAATCACCTCTTTCTATAGTGTATTCTGATATAGGGGCGGGCGTGGGTTGGGCTGGACCCGGTCCGTCCGGTTTAGGGTAGGGCCGGGCCAGACCCGAGACCAACAATGTCAGAGTGGATCAGACTTACTTCTCTGATCCTGAGTCTGGAACTGGACCCACTCGTCTATGACCCGCCTAAGTGCACATCGGGTCTAACCCGGCCTACGACCCGTGAGTCGTGGGCCAGCCCATAAGTTTTTCGTCCAACTTTTTTTTTCCTTTTTTATTATATTAAACTTGTATTTATAATTATAAAATTATTTCTAATTTATTTTTTAGTAATTTAAACTTGTATTATACTATTTCTAAAGTTGTATTAACTTTTTAATATTTTCAAGGAGACAACAACGAGCTTAAAGATCGCTGTTTTATTTTTTAATGGGCCAAAAGGCCCACGTGCCGAGACATATAGCATTTTGGGTTTATTGGCAGCTAGATACACCGCTAAGGAGGCTAAATAACAGCTAGCGCTAACAAAAATATATCATGAGCCGGGTCGGACGTGGACCGGCGAGCATGGGTCAGACCTACTTCTCTGACCCGAGTCTGGGGCTAGACCCGGCCCGGCCCGTGACCCGAATATATCATGGGCCAGGCCCACTACGAGCTGAGCCAGATCGTGACTCATGCGGGTGGGCCTGTTTAGCCCTCGGGTAGACTCGGCCCACACCCAACCCTATTGTGATAGAATCCTTATTAAAAAAATATGCAAATTAGTTATCAAATTTGTATATAAAAAACAAGTCAATAAGAATTAAACAATCTTTTAAAATAGAAGATTTTTTTCATTTCAATTTTATTGTACTTTCAAAATCACCGAAAATAAAAAAAGAAATTGATCCGCAAATTAAAGTGTTTACTAGCTAGTTCTCCAAACCCGTCTAAAGCAAAATAAAATAAATTTCATAAACGATGCCAATTATAGTTGGAATAAATCTCAATGTTGGTAAGAATAATAATGTGTTCTCCTCTCTCATATCAAAATATCTTACAGTTAATAAAGAAAGCTTCTGGAGTTGGGATACATGTCATATATTTTGGAAAGATATATGCTTACATGTATATATATACCCATTTACCATCACTTTTTTCAGAACAACTAATACACATTCATCAAATTACTAGCTCCGTATTCAGAGAAAATCTTTCCAAACAACTATCTGGGTCAATGAGAACAAAGAATAAAAACATAAAAACCGAAATTTTTCGATTACATATATATATACTCTTAATTTCTAAGAATCCATTGTAGTTGGAGAGCAATTATCATGTACGCAAGCCAATACATCTCCATAATCTCTAGAGATTGTAAAGGAATCATACACTTCGCCATCGTTGCTCCTCTCATACTCAAAAATAAGAGATGGGTGATCGAAGGCCATTGGCTTTTTACAAAACCGTAGTTAGAGAGTCTACAGAGAGACCAGCGTGTTTTGCCTATATTGTGATATCTATCAAAAAGAAGAGATGATGAAGTCGGAAAGATGGCTGCCTCCGCCTCCGGAGACGACGGTAGTGGGATTTCTCTGTACTCACACATTGGTTCTGCATTCATGGCAAATGTTAAGAGATAAAGACTACTGTAACATGCAGATAAGGATGAGACATGCATGTACAACTTTATCGATCCTCAACTCTTTTAGTATCGCACATGACCAGGTAGTGTTTTGTTTGTCGAGAAAGCATGTAATCATGTCAATCTTCCAAGGTGGTGCAGGAAACAGAGTGGAACTATAAAAGGGAAAATTTCAACACACATATTTCAATAACAAACAGAAAAAAATTATAACGTTGAGGAATAACAAAAATTACAAAACTAACACATCATTAAAGTTATAAAATATAAGCATGTTTGAGTTGATGCACAGTTAGGAAACAAAGCAGATCCAAACACAAACATTTATTCAAGTAACGTAAGCTTTCTAGAGATGGTTACACATCGATGGCATACCAATAAACCCAACATTTTTCTGTCAAATGCAATCAACTAAAGTTCATTCTTCTTTGGTTCCATCTGCGGCAACTTTCTCCGGTTCCTGCTGGCCTGAGGATTCAACTTTCCCTTCGGCATTGCCTTGTATATTCTGGTTGTTTGTAGGCTTGTAAGGACAAGCAGGAGGAACCCTTGCAGGTTTCCTGTACTCCCAACCAAAAAGCCTGTAGACTTTACCAAGGATGAAATCCAACAGCAACGGCAGGGCATTAACGACTGGGATAAGGAAAAGGGGCAAAAGGCAAGCCAAGCACACCATCTTGCGAGTTTTATGACTTCTTAATTTCTTGTGGTGTCTCCTGCAGGAAAGATCAAGCAATGTGGGTTTATAATAAGCGAGCAAATTAACATCAGCACCTGAGGTTCCATTTAGTTTTATGTACAATCAAGTAGCAATAAGCCCTCAACCTGTAGAAACTACTAGACTGAAGCCGTAAAAGAGACATCAAACATAGAAAAAGGATTCTACTAAATGCATTAAAGAGAACCAAAAGAATTAAGTCAAACAAGGGGCAATCCAACCATGTCAGCGAGTATAGTAACCTTCTCGGCGTTCATTAGGACAGAACTTTATTAATTAGTAGAGAAATCCAGGTCGGAGAAAAGACTTCAAGTGTGAAGTCAATAGTTTCCCCGAAGACGCAATTTAATTGTGGTCATGCATATTCCACAACCAACATGTATGTTCACTTCTGAATGAACTGAAAATAAGACGAAAAGACTCTTGAACTCCCAAAGGAAAGAGGGCACTTTGAAGACGCAATTTAATTGTGGTCATGCATATACCACAACCAACATGTATGTTCACTTCTGAATGAACTGAAAATAAGACGAAAAGACTCTTGAACTCCCAAAGGAAACAGGGCACTTTAAATAAGTATTTTACAGGAAGCATAAGCTTTTACAACTAAAACAAGGTCCTTTTCAAAGACATCAGGGAGCAACTAGAACGCACTCTTAACGGTCAACACCGTTAATAATCATGAAAAACCCGAAACAACACAGACACGCTGACACACAACCACATGGACACATAGACAAACAACAGAAATACACACACGTACAGACAGACATAAAGGCATGCACATGTATACATTGATAAGTAGATTTAGCTTTCCTTCGAGTTTGAAGTCTATTCTTCCCATTAGCTATCCAAATGAGAAAACACATTATTGGAGTTCTCGTCTTACATATCGAGCGGCACCAAGAAGGAACAAACACTTCAAACTGATTTTTGCTTCTCTGTTCGACGCATATGGATAACAACACTTGCACAAACCTTGTCCAACATGTACTGAGTTGCATTGGATTAAATCGTAACAGCCTAATTTATTGTTAGTAGTACGACATCTAATCCAGTCAGGATATCTATCCATAAGAAATTAATTAAACTGATATTAATTAGAGATGTTTGGGATGGGTTGGAGGTGTGTTCGGTGGGAAAATTTGATGTAAAAAGACAATGAAAGAAAATTGATTTGTATTCTCTCAAAATCGATTACAATTTGGATTTCCTGATTACAAAAGAGAGGAGAATAAATTTGATTTTGATTCTCCCCTTTGTTTAAAACTGGGTTCTTCACGGTGGCGATGGAGTGCCTCCCTCGAATGCTCGCGTCGAGTTTGCTCTCCGTTGACGATCCGACGTTTTGCTTCACTGGAACGATGTCTTCTCCTCACGATTCGACGTTGTGGAGAACTTGCGTGGCAAGTTTGAGAACTCTGAATGAGTTTAGAATAACTCTGTGAAAGAGTTGATTTGAACCGAAGATCGGTTAATAAGCCAAGGCTAGAAGAAAGCTCTGGTGGTCGATCGTTGCTGAGGATGAACGTCGATCTCCCTCTTGTTGCCAAGCCAAAAGATCTCCTCTTCGCTGCTGAAAAGATGATCAATCCAAGCCAAGAAACTCCAACCTTGCTGCCAATTCCCAGATCCGAAAAAAAATGCTAGCCTGAACTCAATCGAGTTTACCCATATTTATAGGGATTTAAGGGATGTAACCACCCCCTTAATCCGTTCCTAAGTGGGGCGAAAATCTCTCAAATCGTGGAGGAAAAACGGTTCCTGCAACCGTTCAGCTCGTGTTTGAACGAGTCAAACGCCCACGTCGGCGTTCAGGACCCTAACTCCGCGTTTTAGAATGGAGATGCGGAGTTGGGTACTCGCTGGGTGCTGAAAAACGCGGGTCCGACTCCAGCGTTTTGATGTTGTAACGTGGGTTCGACCCTCGTGTTTTGATGTTGTGACGCGGGTCCGACTCTAACGTTTTGATGTTGACACACGAGGAGGACCTCCGCATTTTGGTGTTGATACATGGGGAGGACCTCCGCGTTTTGGTGTTGATACACGGGGAGGACCTCCGCGTTTTGGTCTTAGAGCGCGGTGATGAGTTCCGCGTCTTGCTTTGGAGAGATTATCAACAAGTAATCTCTTTTGTCATAGCGTTGCAAAGATCATTGTCTTGTAATCTTCGTCTTGGCTCCTTGAGAATATGAGAGTCGTCAGATTGTAACTCCCGATGTTGATTGTGAATGCTATTGAACTAGAGCTCTCATCGGTTGTCGTGAAGGTCGTCAGATTGTAACCTTCAGCGATCTACGTGAAAGTCTTTAAATTGTAGCCTTCTGGAAGTCGTCAGATTGTAACTTCCATCATCGGTGTTTGATGGGGGATAAGCTATCTATTGTGATTTTTAGACAGCCTACAAGGTGCAATGTGGTGAATATGTGTTATCAAGCTACGCCTTGAGGGGAATAAATGTAACTTATACGAGTAAACTAATGAGGTCGATGTTACAAACTGGCCCAAGTAGGAATGAAGTACTGGCGAAAGGATAAGATAGATAGAAGGAAGTTGTGCCCAAGTTGGATTTCTCTGCTTACACAATTTCTTGCCTTCTCCTCTCCACCTTCAATCATTTCTAGAAAAAGAGAGAGTACAGTAGTGCAGTGATGATCCATAGCTTTTACGAGAAGCTATTGGCAAAGATCAGTGGATGATCCACGAATGCAATATTACTACTCTGCTCTTTGATGCTTTTCTGAGGTGGAGTCTTTTGGTTGGGTGGTTTCCTAATAGTTCTTAGCACAATGTAATGCTTACTGAGATTTGAACTTTGCATCAAGAAATTCTAATGTTCGACGTCTCCTAGTCGCAGCTACAGCATGGACTTCCTGCGTGTGGAAATGGTGCATAACATGATTTGATACAAGTGCAAGTAAAAGAGGGCCTGGGCACATAAGTACATAAGCATGAGAGACTAATCTGTAACAATGTGGTGATCAAGAGTTTGAAGTGTGTTGGGAGGGAGTTTTAAATCGATTCTCCTGAATCTCTGTTCTACAGTCAAAAATAGCCAGAATGAGACTATTCCTTCCATAGGATGATATATGGTGCCACAATGATGTTTTATTTATCAAAATCTAATTATCCGGAAAGATCTGTGTCAGCACCTGTCTAGTGAAGTAATGATGTATATCTCAAGTTTAGGATATAATGGAGATTCGATTTTGTTGTTTTTTTGGCGAACAATGGGTCATAGCATAACAATACCAAGAGAGTTGCTAGACTTAAAATTGGTGATGTTGACAATGGTTCGCATTTCATTAGAGGAGAGAGAGAGGATAATAAGTATGTTGATGTCGGGTCAAATCTGAGATGGTGCCAATGAGGTTCGGAAGATGGCACCCATATCTTTTCCCCTTCCCACTTTATGGCGAGAGCATTAGAATGAGACATGCATGCTGACAGGGAAGCATCAGAAACTGTATCGCTGCCGCCACAGCCCACAGTGGGTTAGAGAGCATGAGATCTCTAGATGGGTTGGTTGATTGTTGTTCCCTGAATTTCCCAACACAATAATAATAGGAACAATATGGTATGCGCTAAGCATCGGGCCAATGAGTTTATTACATGTTTGAAGATCGTCTTCTGAAGAAATCCTTTGTGATTCAAACATTAGGGGTCTCATCCCTTAGATTGTTGCTCATAGGACAAAAAAAAAGGGATTATTGTAAAAAGGTGTGTGCATAACAAGAAATTGCAGCACCTGTGCTGATTTTGGGGCAACATGGCGAATATTGCAACGAAATAGTAATACTAGGGAAAAAAAAGGGATCCCTTTCAGTCAACCCAAAATCCCCAGATTGAATCTCAAAAGAGATTATTTTGGACAAGTTTTAATCTGGGGATCTCTGAGAGGGATATCGATCTTCTACAAGCATCATCAACATCAATTGTCCCAATAATCATACAAAAACCAAAACTGCTTGAAAAATTTAAAAAAAAATTTGAAAGAACAAGACATAGGAATATAATCGCACGTATCTGTCGATCGAGCCAATGAAAAATCATGGAAATCGTTTGGAATTTCTAATACATGAAGAAATATTGACAAAACGAATCGAAACAAGATACAATTTTGCACCTGGAATCGAACGAGGACGAATTGGGCGATAGCTTTGACCTAACTGCTGAATCCCAGTTGCAAGGACAAGAGTGCAATTTTAGAAAAGGAGAGGATTGTCGATCGAGTAGTTGTTTTCCGGCTAAATATTAGAAAGAAACCCTAAAATAAAATTTTAAAAGTTAAAGGGGGGTTTCTGATAACCCTTAAAATAAAAGCCCTTACTTGAGGGGTGCTTTGATATTTTGAAAGTTCGGGCGGTTAATCTGATAATCGTCCAAAGCTAGGGCGTGCTTTCTGATATTCAGCCTTGTTTTAAATTAAACTTCGTTGGTGGCCTCGATTGATTAGGGCCCATTGAAGGCCCATTAATAGGAGTCCTTGTTACGCGCTTCGGATTCTAAAAATCGAAAGTATTCCTTTGGGATTCCTGTACATTTCAATTAACACATTGGATGCTTATTACAAGAGTGACACTACAGGCACACCCCCAACCACACATTGGGGCACACCCCCTCTCTCAGCTACAGTGCACGGGGCCCACTTTAGATTTTTTTTAAAGTGTGCCCCAAGGTGTGGTTGGGGGTCCTAAACTAATCTCTAAAAGCTAGTTTGTTTGTTGACGGAGAGAACCTAAATCCCTCATAAAACCCGCATCAAACCACCAATGCAAAATATGAAAAGATTCGCAAAGATTAGTAGTTGTCAAATGAACCGTCCAATTTCATGGTTTGCAGCACATCTTCCCTCCTCCTCCCTCCCCAATTTACCGAACATGTCATCTTCTCGGTTACAGCTCAGTTTATCGAGGCCGATAACCATACATACTAATATTAACACAGCGCAAGAAGTAAACATTTAGTAACTCTAGAAATAAAATGAGCAGCCTCAACACATCTTACAAAAAAAAAAGTAAAAAAAAAAAAAAGGCAAAATGCATCCTAAATCATCATAATATAATTCTGAGGGAACATTTCGATCTCTTTAAGATTAGTAGTTAGTCCACTCATTCGCATATCGCCAACCAAATTAGCTCAGCACTTTGCATCACTGAGGTTTATGTTAGCTTGTCTACAGAATCCGTCGCTGAACGCATTGGAGAAGGAGAGAACTTGTCTTGTTCTTCTCTAAACGACTCATCAGAATCCGACTCCACGTCAAGGCTAAGGCTAAGGCTAGGCATGGGTACGGTCTCAGATGCATTTGCTCCGGCCCAAAAGAGAGCCATCTTTTTATCGTCTTCCGTCATTCTTGCATCATACTCTAAAAAATTGAAGCTACTAGCTTGATTTCTTCCCCCAAATGAAGTTTCTAGTTCATCTAAATTGAAAAGTTCTTCCATGATTTTGCGAGAGCTCGGGTCCACAGAGTAAACAAACTTGACTTTTCGGTGAGTTTTGGGCTCTAGGAAAGGTTTCACCACCTGCAAGTAAGATAAGTTTCAACCAGGATAGGGAAAACACAGGTTCGAAAGCAACGTAATTCGTGAAAAGTCTATATTCCGGGTCTGCTACATGAATCCTATTTATATTCAGATCTATTAAGGGTTATCTCTTGTGTTAAGTATGTCCTATATTCTTGTTAGAGAATGATGTGTTCAGTTTTAAAAAGGTTAATCGCACGTAGACCCCTCTTCTTATCGCTGCTTTGAACTTATTATCTACTAGTTTCATTTTTGTAAATAGACCCTCAAGGTTTTAAATTTTTTTAAAACTTTTTTACCCTCAAATAGACTCACTGTTTTCAATTAGGAGCAGTATTGCCAAGGCTTCACCATTCACTGAAGGGTTAAAGAGTCAAAAAACTTTAACCCTGAGGTCGATCTGCAACAATAAAAGTATATGGGTAGTAAGTGCAAAACAGCTATGCTACAAGGGATATATGTGCAATTAACCATTTTTAAAAATAAAGCACATCTCACAACTTTAGGGGACCTTATAACACAACATTTTATATCACACTTGAAACCATGGGGCGAACGAATTTTTCTGTGGAACATTGGAAAATATTTGAGTCTTCTGAAAGAGGAAATTAGGACAAAGGCTATTGCACACTGAAAAGAGGTCAATTGTGGTATAAAATCGAAGCATGTTATTCCTATAACTTTTAATGCTGGGCTGGGTTTTTAAATTCACATTAAGAATAAAAAAGAGCTTTTGTTATGGATGTCAGAAAGAACAGTAAACAAGCTTTAAAACACAGGAAGCGCAATATTGCAATAAGCTACTCCTTAATCTTTTGTTTTAGAAAAAGCTACTAGAATTTCCATAAAAAAAGTGATAACATACCATCCAAAAGGATTCAAAGATCTTCGGGGGGTCATATAAAATCGCAGCACCTAGTGTTTCTGGATAGCGATCTTGTAGCACATTTGCTGTTTCCTTCGTCATCCTTACTGACATGTGCGACATAGCGAACCCACAAAAGCTAATGAGCCAAACCATCTGTTCCTGGCCTGCTGGCAAATTGAAAATGGCATTTTCCATGCAGTAAACTAAGTACTTAACCTGTCCCTCTATTGCATTTGTGTTCTGCATCCAAATACAATAAACTTGGTATCAATTGAAAGGCCTTTTAGTATTACATGCAAATTGTAAGTTCAAAAAGGCTGAGGAAAAGGGGTTTTAAGTTCTAAGAATATATCAAACCTGGAAACCGGGTCTCATGACAAGGACGCTTCTTCCATACTTGTCAAAAAGACTGGACCTATAGATTTTTCCGGTCTGGGCTTCATTGGCTATCTCTTCCTGCATAATATTGGTTATGATGCAAAGAACAGCAAGTTAAGCAACAAGGAAATAGTTTGATTGAACTTGAGAAATGAAAAGTTATGAGGGAAATTTCCCAAAAAAGTGATGTACAGATGAAGAAAATGTTGTATCGCAACACTGCTCAGAAAATTGGTGTATACCCATAGTTGTCACTTTCTAAATGAATCCAATAATGGAAGCAATTTTATGGCTGAATGTGAACACAATTACACAAATTTTCATAAATAAGATATTGTTTAAAGCAAAGTTCTCTGTGAAATTTGCTCTTCCATAGCTCCCAATTGCGTCTTTACCCATCAGAAATCATCATAGTTAACCAATTGAAATGGCAGTGCACAATGTATTGCAATGTCTTTTGACTGTACAACTAAGCCCCTAGAGAGTTAGGCCTGCAAAAAACATGCAGTTGGCTTTTTAAAGCAGAAAGAATAAGATATTCTGCCTCTTAGTGATGCAGCTAGCAGCTGTTCAGAACTCAAACACGAGAAAATAGAAAGACAGAAGAGGAAGAAAGGAGGTTAACCTCAACTAAACAAAACTTAACTCAATAATATTTTTTCGATAAAATAAACTAAATCAAATATACGACTGACTGAAAGTGGCTAAAAGTCCCAAAACTAAAGTTACATTGTACATGTGGTTTATTATATCAAAAAGGAGATAGAATTCTGTGGCATTACTTTAGCATCCGATATTGGCATAGCAAGCTATATATCCTATGCATTACTCATAGTGGCACCAGATTTTATTTAGAAATGAAGCAGATAGTTTGTAAGAGCCCATTTTTATTACAATAGTATACATAGTCATTGCAGCTTTCCGCTTCATTTGAAAAGCACACAATGATCGACTTTCAACTCGAAGGGCTAGGCTGAGAAAGATATAGGAGAAGCTCTTCACATTTAGTGGGGTTGTGGCCTAATCTTTGGTCATTGCATAGAAGTTGAAGGCCTTAAAACTAATTTTTAGTTTCTTACCCATCCATATCCATGTATTTCTATCTTTGTAAATATTACTGGTCTTAGTATCAATAAATTACAGGCCCAGGCCTTTCCCAAAAATTATTAAACCACTCCCCACTAAGGTCATGCTAACATTGCAAATTATGCATTTTAAACAGTAACCATGTCCCAGCCGTCTCCCTTTATATAGGACAAGACAACAATTTTTATCTCACAGCTTATTCCTCTTCGACTTTGCTTTTTTTCCCCAAGCAGCACTCTTGAACAATTACAGTTCAGTGATATGATCATCGGTGTCAAGCAAATAATAGTGAGAGGTTTGTCGCTGATAAATGTTAATTATTTACTTTTTTCCTTGGATTTTTTCTTCCATTTTAAGTCTTGATTTTTAGAGGATAACTTATGCATGTAAATAATTTTTTAAGGCCTAAGAAATTTTATTTATGAGTTTAGCTTTTCAGAAAATTACCAATTTTCATTCTCTATATCCTAACTTGTGTGAATTTGCTTGTGTGAAAATTTTGTATAGCACTGTGTTTCACACAATATACATGCTTAATGAGATCAAAAGAGGCCTTGAAAAAAAATAGAAATTGCATCCTCGCTAAGGATCTCAAAATTCAACAAATGGTGAGTTCAAGGTTCCATTAAAAATTCATCTCAAAATTCAACAAATGTTGAAGCAGAAATATTATTTCAAAAGTTGTATGATATAAAGAAAATTAAAAACGAAAAATACACAGATGCAGCATTTGAAAGAGAGAGATGAAATACATCTAGTAATCCATTATGTATTCATGTGCCAGATGTGACTGTGTGACTAACCCAACGAATTTCTTCTGGCTTGTACTCGAGACGCCATTTCAGGGTTGCTTTTAGCATTTTAGTTGCCCTCCTAACATTCCAACCTCTTGCAGTCAAGTATCTTCTAATGCACTCATCTGAACAATAAAGAGACAATTTCTCTGGCAAAGGTCCCAACAATGCTCGTACTTCCTGAATCTGGAATAAGAAACAAAACAGAAAACTGCATCATGAGAAATTGGCACAAAGTCTTGAAGGAACATATGATTATCCATCGTAACACCAACCAAAAAAACAATGTTGGGATTACGGTTACCTTGTTACTCTCCTGAGCCTCCTCTTGAACTATTGATTTTCTCCCCGAACCAAATGAGCCAAAATTCTTCAAGCTCATAATTTTATGAAGTTTCCTGAAGAATAACAGATAGGCGCATATGATATTCAACTTGCGAGATCATGGAAAGAAAACAAGTGGATAAGTTTTGCTGCTTGTCAGAAGAAAAGAGTGGCGTAAAAAGATACATGCTTTGTATTTATTATATATTTTAACCTCCTTATGGATTCACAAATGCAGAAGGTCTATTTCTCATAAACATGCATGCATTATTCAAGCTTAAAAGGAAAATTTTAACCGGCCATTAAATTGTATCATCAAAAGATTCCTGAAATTAGATAAAAGTCATCTCTTCATGTGTCCTCTTAATTTTAGGATTTTTCAATTATCATTCTTACCCCTTCTGCAAGAAAAAAATAACACAGCAAAACAAAAGAAAACAAGCAATATTTGTTTCTTAACATGTCGGTAGCTCTGCTCTACTGCCTCTACAAGTTTCTCTATTCTCAAAGAGGCCAAGAGCAAAGCATCTTAAATTTACGAAAATTATGGGAGAAAAAAAAAAATCTGACAGAGACTTCATCACACTCTCCTCCTAGTTATATTTCGGCCATCCGACACCATACAGAAGACTACAACTGCACATGACATGAAATGAATTTCTTTCAAGGAAATCCATCAAATGAATTCCATTGCTCCCAACTAATAACCTCGCAAAATTCAATATTCTTAAGAACATTGTTGAATTATTTTTTTTTCTTTCATAATTACCTGACGTTACATTTGTAAATTTCATTTCTAATTTCTTCCAGGCATTTTTCTGGTTACATCAACAACAGAAAAAAAAATGCCCCGATTACTCAAAGTTTCAAAAATTAAGAACCCATCAAAAAATCATTCATGACCTTCAAATTAATCGCATAAAAATTTGATTTTGTGAAATGGGTACTCGGATTTTAGCCATAAACAACATCTACATGCATTTTTGGAACAATAAATGAAAAAAAAAAAAGCGGAAGATAATCGGGATGCAGATTCAATAACGAGCTAGGGGCTTACCTCCGACGGAACGGCGATCAATTCACGTCGAGAGAGAGAGAGAGAGAGAGATGGGGATTTTACCTAGAACAGAAGGGAGAGAGAGCTTGGGAAATGGTTGGTCCATTTGCACGGTGTTTACTATTTTATTGTATTTAATTAATGAAATACGATTTACATGCATAACTAATTATAGTACAGTTCTTAAGTATGCATGTATAAATTTTGATGAGAAATAGGCAAGAGGAAGTTTGTACCTAAAAGCAGGTATAAATTTTTTTTACATGTTTTATTTTAATTTTCTCTTTTCCCCCTATCTCTTTTGGAGAATGGACGGTGCTTATAAGTTTCTTTAGCTTTCGTTGCTGGAAATTTGCAGGATTTGTGAATGGATAAATCCCTGATAATGTGGGGCCATCGATTGCAAATCTGATTTATTATAGGCGTATGCCTTAACCTTGCACTTGGAATTTGTAGGATTTATGAACGGATAAATCCCTGACAAACAGTTATTATAGGATAAGAAGCTTTTTAGTGGATAAAGAAGGCAGAAAAGATAAGGTCCCTAGACAAAGGGCTAACAAGGAGGGATTAAGAAACTCATTGCATGTGATCTAGATAGTTAAAGATGTTTCAATATGACTTCGACGGTCCTGGGTTTAATTTCGGACAGGATCATCGTGAAAAAAATTAAGGTTGGATTAAAAAGAAGGGTTAACATGGTTAGCCCATTTGTTAATCTGAAGGATTAAAATTTTTAATCTATTAAATCGGCTTACTTCAATCCTTTTGGTTATTTTTTTGTGTTTGGGGATAAAAAGAACTTTGATCACTTCCTTTATAAACACAGGGGAGATGTTAATATGTCTAAATATGTGGATTTGTAAACCCCTCGTTTTGAGTGGTTATCTCACTTTAACCCTTCTAGAATAGTTTGTAAACTCTTTTACTGTTTTTTGTGTTTGATAAATCATGAGGGGTTAACTTAGTTTAAGGAGGGAATAACTCTCCTTAACCACTCGAAGAGTTAACCACTCGAAGAGTTAACCACTCGAAGATGTTAATCTGTCTAAATGTGTGAATTTGTAAACCCCTCGTTTTGAGGGGTTATCTCATTTCATCCACGAGCTTTAGACAAGGGAACGATCACCACCAACATCACGACTCGATCAACATTACACAGCGCCAAAGCCAAGCCTAACATCGCCACAACCTTAAACTCTTCGACGTCACGATCTCCTCCAACAAGCTCGGCCCCTAGACCTCATCAAACCCTAACAGCTCAAACCCTCCATCTTTCAAAACCAGAACCGAAGTCGAGATCATCCAATCTTGGGAGTATATGCTCTTTTGAGCTGATTTTGTCAAATTTTTAAATGGTGGAGAAAATTTGGGGGAGATTCTCCATTGAATTTGTGGGGAGAAGTTTGGATTTGGAGAGAGAGAGAAGGAAACGAGAACGGGAAATGAGATAATAGAAGTTAAGAGAGGGGATTAATGGAGGGAAACTTAGATTTTCTCCTTCATTTTTACCATTGCGTCGTATTTCTTGTGATCGGCATCGCTGGGGATTTTCTTCGTCAGGAGAGGGGTAATTTAGAGAGAGAAGAGGAAATACATATAACACATATTGACTTATAGGCTTTTGGGGCTGGGTCATATTTTCTTGGGTTTTTTGGGACTAAACAACATGGGAATAAGTATTTGGCACTGGGCCACATGAGCTTTGTCTTTTTAGGGTTTTGACACAATATTTCCAAAATTAAACAACTTCATGAAGATTCTGACGACATATAATACACGAGTTAATAATATTGAAATCCTTTAAAATTTTATTTCTAGATAGTTCATGTATAGCAAATCAACTCCAGCAGTTTGATTTTTTATTTTCGGTCTCTGACATTTAAATTGATTGTCGGTTAAATAGAGAGTTTTACTACATAACAAATACAAAATTACCAATTAAACTTAGCTCGTGCAAAATCACCACTTTCTTAGTTTAAAACCCTTCTTTCTTTCTAAAGTGAAATTAAAATTGTTCTCCTTGTGTTGGGGCATCCCCCCCTGTTTGAAGTTTCCCCCCTTGTTTATATATAAGAGCTTGTAAGTGTGTAATTTTTTTCATTGAAAAAAGATAAATTATAAATTTCTCAAAAAGTGGTATGTATACATTTACTACTTGTATTAGGGGCTGTTTGTTTCACTCTTTTATAGGAAAGGATTAGTATTTGGGGTCTGACAGTGGCAAAAGTGTAATTTATGAAATCTTTGTGGATCCTATTCTAGAGTTTGGCTAGGAAAAAATTTATGGATTACGAAATCCATAAAGGTGCAACAGTAAGGGTTTTTTCAAGAAACCCAAATCGGAGAGGACTGAGAGGATTTGGGCGAGAATTCTGACATCGTTCTGGGCTCTTCGTTTTCTGATTCCTAATCCTCTCGACTTCGAACCCTAGATCTAGAATCGCAACTCCCCATTTCTTCTCCCGCCTCTCCCCAAGCTTCTTCGCGCCTCCTCTCCCGCTGTTCTTCGATATTATTTTGGATTCGGTTTATGGATTTGCCCTAGATTTTGGCCTCGGCTTCTCCCGCGACCCGCTGTTCTTCGATATTGTTCTTGGCTTCTCCCGCTGATCTTTGATATTGTTCTTGGGTTCTTGGGTTTGCTGGTTGTTCCGTCCGGTGGGGTTTGTTGGTAACGACATCAATTTCTGAATTTTGCTGGTTGTTCCGTCCGGTGGGGTTTGTTGGTAACGACATCAATTTCTGAATTATTCCCTTCGCAACGGCTTGGCATCTACAGGTATAAATCAATTTATCCCTTTTAATGTGATTATTTAATTGTGCTTGCTCTGATGAAATTAACATTGGTAGTGGAATTATTGATTTTGGTATATGTTTAATTATTGAAACAAGGGTATTGTTCGGTGGGGTTTCATTTGGTATATAGTTTATTACTGATTTTATTAGAATTATTTGTCAGTGGGGTTTCATTCGCAACTGCTTGGCATCTACATGTCTAATCTCTCATGAATCAAGGGTTTTGGTATATAGTTGATTATTGAGCTTCGGTTCTCTGGAATTTTTGTTATTGTAGTCCTTCAAATGACTAAACCATGGAATGAAAACCTTAATTATATTTGTTTGATCAGCGTGCATGCTTAGGGTGCAAAATATGAAATAGTTGTTTCACTACTTGATATATATTTGTGGATATGTAGATATATGGTTTTACGATTTTAATATTTTTATTAGTTATTTAATTATCTTTAGTTTCCAAACATTATTACTGTTAAGTTGTAAATATATGCTAATTTTACAATGGATTTAGATGGATAACGTAGATGAAGAACAATTGAAGAGGATGTGTGCTAATACAGCTGTGTCTGCGGTGGTCACAATAATAACATGTATTCTGAGAATGCGTGCTAAGCGCAAGAGAATTTCATCTTGTACGAAGGAGGAAAAAATCAAAAAAAATTGTTGCAGAGAAGCTCACTTCAAACGTGTATTGGAAGGCTATAGTGATAGTTGTCGGTCTTACATTAGAATGAGACCGAATGCCTTTTTTAAACTTGCTGCGGTAATGAAAGAAAACGGTTTATTAGAGGATTCCAGACATGTTCAAATCGAAGAACAGCTCGCTATATTCCTAAGTATAGTGGGGCATAAAACTAAAAATAGAATAATAAGGACTGAGTTCATAAGATCGGGAGAAACAGTGAGTAGGTATTTCAATAAAGTCCTACAAGCAATGAATGAGTTACGTGATCGCTATATGAAGCAAGGTCCAAATGAAGTTCCTGCAGAGATTACAAACAACCCAAATTATTTTCCTTACTTCAAGGTAAAAATAATACATACACCTCAACATCTGTTTTAAAGTGAATATGTATTTTATTGAATATTTTATAACTTATATTTTTTTTATAGGATTGCATTGGTATGATAGATGGCACACATGTTGACGCAGTATTACCCAGTAACCTAGTTGCCCATTTTAGAGGGAGAAAATGTGTGACACAAAACGTCCTAGCAGCATGCACCCCTAATAAACTATTCACCTATGTCCTAGCTGGGTGGGAGGGAGCAGCAAATGACTATAGGATATTACAAGACGCTTTGTCGAGACCACAACCTTACGGGCTTCGAGTTTATGATGGTATTAATTCTTACTTGTTCACAATTAAAAAAAATTAAATACTTATCAATAGTGTGATATGAAGATATTGTTTAATTGTAATGTAGGTAAATATTACCTATGTGACGCTGGATACACCACAATGTCAGGCTTCATATCCCCATATCGCGGCGTACGATATCATTTAAAAGAGCACACCAGTAGGACACCAAAGAATAGAAAAAAGTTGTTTAATTTAAGGCATTCAAGTTTAAGATCAAAAATTGAATGCACATTTGGTATATTGAAGAACCGGTTTAAAATACTATCGGCGAAGCCAAATTATCCATTTCTCACTCAAGTAGACATTGTACTAGCGTGTACCGTGTTACACAATTTCATTGCTATAGAAGATCCAGATGATGATATTTTAAATGAAAATATAGACATTGATGAAGATAATGGGGAAGTGACAAATGAAGATGACTCAAGTGTGGTGGATTATACTCAAACTAGGACACAGAGAGAGGATCGAGATGAAAGAAATGAATAGAAGGAGCTACGAGATCAAATTGCTTGGGCGATGTGGGTGGATTATTGTGCAAAGTATAATGGTGATAACACAATGGAAAGTGGTTTAGCTTAATGTGATGTTTGTTCTATCTCGATGTAATAACTTGTATTATTTTCTTACTGTTCGCAACTATCCATTTTAATGTTTCTTAGCATGTACTAAACATTACTACGATTATCATCTTCTCTCTTTTCATGTTGTTTCTATACATGTAGGCGTTTCATATATTCCTTTTCTAACGCAAATTGCTAAATGCATGCATATTATATATTGATTTAGATTTCTTTAATAATAATGTCTACTTGTTCAATATATATTAGGTATGGTTAACAATCAGGCAGATAAGCAGCCCCTGCCTTCTCATTCTAATGCTCCGCCAAATCCAGCTGCTAACATAAACATGAACTTCACGCCTGTTCAACCATAACCTTTCTCTTCACCCCATCATACATTCTCACCATTCTCACTATATGATGTTAATTATGGTGGAAT